GTGAAATACAATCAGTGATTCTGTAGTGAAACATAGATGTCAGTGATCCTGTAGTGAGATACAATCAGTGGTTCCGTAGTGAAACATAGATGTCAGTGATCCTGTAGTGAGATACAATCAGTGGTTCCGTAGTGAAACATAAATGTCAGTGGTTTTCTGGAGATTCTGTAATGAGACATACAAGTCAGTGATCCTATGGAGTTTTTGTAGTGAATCATACAAAGCTGTACTTTTCTGGAGTTTTTATAGTGAGTTATATAAAGCTGTGGTCCTCTGAAGTTTTTGTGGTGAGTCATACAAAACTATGGTCCTATGGATGTTTTGTAGTGAGAAATGCAAGTCAATAGTCCTATAGAAGTTGTATAATGAGAAATACAAGTTAGTGTTCCTCTGAAGATGCTCTAGTGAGAGACAGAAATGCTACTCTGCAGTTTCTGTAGCGAGATATACAAGTCAGTCATTATCTGTGGTCCTCTAGAAGTTCCATAATAGACATTCAAGTACGTGGTCCTTTAAAGGTTCTATAATAAGACATACAGGTCTGTTGTCCTCCAGAGGTTTTGTTGTGAAGCATACAAGTCGATGGTACTGTAGTGAGACACACTCTGTGGTCCTATAGAAGTTCTGTAACGAAACGTACAAGTCAACAGTCCTCTGGGGATCTTGTAGTGAGACATAAAGTATGTGGTTATCTGGAGGTTATATAGTGAGACATGAAAGTCAGTCATCCCCTGAAAGTTCTATAATGAGACTACAAGTCAATGGTCCTCTGGAGGTTCTATAATGAGACATGCACATCAGTGTTTCTCTGGAGATTCTGTAGTGACATGCAAGTCATTTGTTTCCTGGAGGTTCTATAATGAGTTATACAAGTTACTTATAGTAATTCTCTGAAAGTCTTGTAGTTATACATACACCTCAGTGGTCATCTAGATGTTCTCTAGTGAGACAAACATGTTTGTGGTCTGTTGGAGGTTCTATAATGTGACACTGTCAAGTCTGCGAGTCTGAGGTTTTATAATATGATACGCAAATCAGTGATCCTGTAGTGAGACATACAAGTCAGTGGTCATCTTGTGGTTCATTAAAGAGACACACACATCTCTGAAGGCTCTGAAGTGAGAAATATAAGTCTGTGGTCCTCTAAAAGTTTTTGTAGTGAGACATGCAAGTATTTAGTCCTCTGGAGGTTAAACTATTAAAAGAGGTTTCAATTTTCTTCAATGGTTTTCAACAACACTATTACAAAAATTGTTCCAGCATCAAAGTTTAAAATACATGATACAGATTCATTACAATAAGATGCAAGTTCTTTGGTGAGATCTATTAATGACATTAACAGTAAGTTTATTTATGGTAAGTTTTATTAATATTCTCAACTTAAGGCTATTTCTGTAGAAGAAAAAAGTGTTATGTTAGTCACAGATATATCCATTTTCATGCATAGCTATCAAAACAACTGTAATACTCAGGAAAAATGCACAGAAAATAGTAAATTTCTTCCTTTTCCTATCAGTTTCTTCAAAAATGGCAGTATACTTTCTTAAACGTACACAGTTTAATTCTCAGTACATGCTTTATATTCTTCTACTATTTAATAAACACATTGATAAAAATATATTTATTATTCATCAATAAGCAAGCAGTTTTTATAAATAACCTAAGCTTTCAATGGTGTTACTTATTTTGAAAAAAAAAAGAGTACCTATACCTTTGTTTCAGAACTTCCAAGATACACAGTTATTATGTTCACCTTTTAATTTACTAATAGTGCATTTCTTTTTAAAAATAAAGATATTTCTATTTTTTTCTGTGTAGGTTGTACTGAAATTTCTGACTGAATTATTCTGGAGGGGTTTTAAGTAAAGGATAAATCGTATGACATTTCTTTCATCTTTTTTTTTTAGAGTTTGTCAGGTCAAAGTGTTGAGTTCAATAATTTTCTCTTCACAGTTCTGACACTTTTATCAGGTCAAGATAGCATGTGTCACCAGGATTTATTAACGATTTAATAAATGAGTTCCTGACAGATGAAATTTAAATGTGGCCTATAGGCAAGAACAGGTAATTTCTTTGAAGGTTGAATTTTACCATGGATTTTAAAGATATTTCTGTACTTAACATTGCTAAAATCATAAAAGGAAGCTTTTTCAATCTTCCAACAGCAGCTGAAAATCATTATTAAAATCCTCCAATCTAAGATATACCAATCTTCCAAAAGCTAAACACCAATAAACTCTTGTCAATAAGATCCCTACTCATTTGTTGTTATTCTACCAGCTGATAAACGTACAAAATAGAAGTGAAAATGGATAAATCTAGAAAATTAAAAAAAAAAAATCCAGACTGTATCATATCATTGAGCCCGCTGGAAAAACAACCTGGACATTTAAATGAAGAATTTGGACAACTTTGTTATAATTGTGATATCTGTTAGAGATCTACTAGTAAATAATAATGAGTTCAGCATATTTCAAAGTATTCTTACTGATAAAGATTATTCATTATATTCAAAAACTCAAAGCCACTTCTATGAATCTTTGTATAAACTTCCATTTCAAGCCACCAGTTTACTTAATTTCAACAGAAAGATTTATTCTATGCATCAACTGCCTACAAATGGGTTCTCTATTCTCTCCATTCTTTAGGACTTTTTCAAGACAGATTTTGAAATCAAAGCTCTATATCTACTATCATGAAACTATAAACTTTCAAGAAATATGCTGAAGACACCATCATTTTGCAGTCATACATACAAGAAACATTCTATTGCTCCATAACATTTACCATGCCTCTGTGTCGTCAATCATCAAATGATCAAAACTACCTCCCCATCCTTCGTTTAAACAGAAAATTATCATAATCAAGCACAACTGACCATCATGAAGAATTTTTTTAATCTATGGCCTTCACAAACAGGACTCAATACAAACCTTCTAAAAAGTACTTAACAGGCCTTGTTCACTACTGTTCTGCCAAATTTCCAATTTCACTGAAATTAACTTTGAACTTGATTACTTTGTGTGATACAAATAGAACTTACTAAAATAATATAAATTTCCAAACAATTTAATTCTACATAATTTCTCAAAAAGAAATTTCTTAGGTATACACGTTTTTTTTTTTCAAGTTTGAGGATACTGTTTTTCATTTTGGAATACAGAGGAACCCAAGACTCTGTCATAAAATCCCTAATCCATGTACTAGCTTCATCAAAACATCTTGGATTAACAAGCAAGTGATTCTGAACTACAGAAAGAGAACTGTACCTTTCTATTATTCATACCAGTACTGAGAAAATTTAAAACACAATATTCGTGAAGTCCCATAATACAGTATTCAAACAAATTTAACCAACACTGAGAATAAACATCAATTAATTTTAATATTCCAAGCATGTGAAGCCCACAAAACTTTTCCAGTCATCTTCTTAAGATGTAACACACATCAGTTTAAACAATTCAAACACAACTGGTTGATTTTGTTTTTTCAGAATAAGCTGTTCAAGATGAGAAAGAAAAAACAAGGACAAAAATGTAGGTCAGAAGTTTTAATGCCTTAACTCTGGTTTCCACTGAAAGTTCCAATATGACCTGTTTTAAATAACCTCATACATAATGTACATATTTTACTTTGTAGTACATACAAGTTGTACAGAACATAATTACATCCTACAACTTCAGTAATCAGTGATTATCACAAAAACAAATGTGTTACACTCTAATTTAAGCATGCACACTTATTTTAATAAATATCAAGTTACATCTAGGAGATAAAAACAACATTGATTTCATGTCGGAATAACATCAGAGAACCTTCCTTCTTCAATGTGATCATCAAAGTCCAGCATCACTAAGAAGTCGATTAAGTGTGATTGGTACCCTCTGGCGACAAGCTTCTTCGTCACTAATAATAAAAATATAATTGATAATATAATTAATAACAGAACTTAGATGTGATGATGAGTTTTAAAACATGTGTCTATAAATTGCTACTACATCATAGAAACGTCAGATGCTAAACAGTATTACTTCTTTTGAAATCTAAGATGTTGAAACCAGGGGTGCTGAGGGTGTGGCAGACCCTGGTTTGGTATGTGGGGGTTGTGGTTCCCATCATATACAGAGGTTTCAATTCTGTTCAATGGTGTTCAGCACCCCGAATAAAAAATATTGTTCCAGCATAAATGTTTAAAATACACATAACAGCAACACAGGTTCTAGCCAATATGATGGAGAAAATAAATATTTTTGGTATTAACAAAATGTTTGTGGAAGGAAAAGTTCCAATAAAAAGCACAGATGCAAGTTTGGAGGCGAGACCTATTAATGGTATTAACAATAAGTTTAATTATAACATTACTTATGGTAAACGTTTTATTAATATATTCAACTTGAGATTATTTCCATAAAAAGTAGTGTTTTATGTCATTCAAATTATCACCCATCTTACTTATTTTTTGTTTAAAATACATCTGAACATCATGCTATTTTATTATTAAAATATAACTTTGATTTATAGTTTAAAATATTTGTGGAACCTATGTTCAGGGCTCCCCTGTATTACTTTTAGGCTTGTTTAATAATTACCAACAAATGAGTGAAAAATAAAAATTATTATTATTATTCAGTACTTCCTTACAAAACAAAAGAAGCTACTGACCACTTCATCAACTTAAAAAAAAACAATTTTCAGTCTTTTGTGTCCAGAACAGATGCAAGTAATGTACTTCCTTACAAAACAAAAGAAGCTACTGACCACTTCATCAACTTAAAAAAAAACAATTTTCAGTCTTTTGTGTCCAGAACAGATGCAACTAATGGTGAGTAAACACAAGTACATTAAAGAATAGTGTGAATTAAGGCATCTTAAACAAACAGTAAGTTGACTTAAGTAAAACCAATTATGTTTTCTGGAGTAATAAGTCATGTCTGATTCATCTTTTTAATAATGAATACATATCTCTCCAGTTTGCACTACAAATTTTAAACTCTTACAAACAGTAAATTACTCATGATTGCCTTATGAGTTAGATATATTCTATTAAAACATATCATATAATGATACTAAAACCCTTATTACAGAGAAACCAGCTATTACGAAATATTTTAGATAAATAATTTAACAAGTTTGTATGTTATAGTCAGTTAATCACATGAAAATGTTTAAACATTAAAAAAAAACTCATTTATCACAGAAAAACATTACACAAACTATATAAGAAAATGTGCTTATTATTACTCTCATGCAATAGTTTTTTGAATACAATTGAAATATTTTTTAAATTTTAAATGATATGATACTAAAAAACTGCTTTAAACTATTTCAGATTATGTGTATATATAATATGTATTTATATAAAACAAGAAAAAGAAATCATGCACACACAAACACGCATAATTAATTGTTTATATAACAGATATTGACAATCATGCACAAAATACTAGTATTGTTATCTGTACCTGGGTGCCCCTACAGCCTTGCAGAGCCAAGCTAGGGGTGGATAGAGTTCAAAGAAAGAGAGAGAGAGAAGATACAGATTTTAAGTAGTGAATGCAGAAACATTTATTGAAATAACTATACTATAGGCTAAGTTAAAACATACAAGGCAACTATATCAAGATATAACAAAATTATTTTGTAAATTAGTAGAAAATTAATATGAAACTTAATGTTTTCTTTTATAAAAAAGGTATAAACATGTAATATCAATACATGATGTGCACAATTGTCAAAAAAAACAACAACACAAAACTATCAATTATATAATCTGAGAGAATTAGATTATTAGTATGTTAAATAAGTAACTGCAACATTACATTAACATTTGTGATGTTAAATAAGTAAGTGCAACATTACATTAACATTTGTGATAAAAATCACAGTACTATTGTTAGGCATATTAGTGTCTAATGCTTAACCAGCTTTTGACATTTAAACTGTCATGTTACAAATTATATACTGCATATATAAATAGTATTTCTGAGAAACTTTTTTACTCTGATTGTCCAACCCAATTGACAAGTTTTGGTATTGAATGAAAAGACTCTTCGGAAGTGATTTATGGGAGACAAAAAATAGATATGAAATTATATTTTTTACTTCCCTCTGAGTTAGAATTTGAAATGGATAAATTAAGAAGAATTTAAAAAATAAATATATGCAGTTTAAATGATTTTTACCACAAAAGTTAGGAACATAGGCTTCTAATGCACTGTCAGCTAACTGCATTTTAACCATTTCAGAAACCTAAAATCATTTATAACTTTAAAAAAGTTAAGTTTCTTAAGAAAATTTACAAACAAACCAAATCATTTTAGTATCCTACATTAATTTACAACTTCAAAAAAGTTAATTTTGTTTAAAAAACTATAAGCAAACGAAATCATAGTAAAAGCAACTTATTATTCATTTTTGAGGAAATATAAATAAATATTTGAACCTATGCTGATAAAGTTAAAATGTCTGACTTAATAATTACAATGACAGTTTTATTACTACAATATCTAATACCAGCTACATAAGAGCAAAGAAACTACAGTGAACTTAAAGTGCAAGTTATTTCACAAATACTTAAAAAGTTGAGAATGTTAAATGTTAGATGAACACACAATTTAGCAAAGGTTTCATGGGAGTAAATTTCCTGATAATAACTTATTTTTTTGGCCAATTAAGTTGAAATTTAAGGAATCATGAAAAATGTAACGTGGCTAGTTTTCTATGTTCAATATCTGTATTAACAAACATCATTTACAACATGCATAAAACTCTATCAAATGAAAAATCTTTAGCTTTACTCATTTTATCCAGGTTTTTCCAGTAAAATTCCAATGGAGGTAATTAAGTTTACTATCAGTTATTAATTAGTGGCAGAAAATATACGAACATAACCTTTATACCAAATCTGTTATAAAAAAATTATAAACCTTTTTAATATGCTTGGTCAACAGAGGATATAAAATCATATTTAAAACCAACTTAACAGCTTGAAATAAATTTTCAAACCCTTTCCAAGGGTTATGTTTTACCAAAGTATCATGTATCTGTGTAGTTTAAAATAATAAGGTTATAAAATTTGCTGAATATTTTCATAAAAATATTTTGATTTAGTAAAATCATCTAGAGAAACATTGAGAGAACAGGCAGTGAAAGTGATAAAAAAATTAATTTTCTTGTAATTTCAAAGTACTAAAAAAGGCATCTTTGGAGATACATTTCCTGTCACATGTTCAAATACTGTAGTCTGAAAATCAAAACTGATTGCAAGTTTGGTAAATTAAAATATCACCAGGTGACAGACAGCTTAATTCCTGCTAATAATAATGGAGGATTAAATACTTTTAGATGTTATAAAATACTAACACCTAATACATATGTGTAAAAATATGCTTTTTAGCTGCTAACCAATTTTTTTGTGGTAGTTTCTTACAAGTCTTTTGAAAAAATGTTTAAATTACAATTTCAAATGTCAAGAGTTTAAATGTGTTATGGATATAATACTGTTTTCCTTAAACAAAAATCTGGCTCTATAAAATCAGACTGCTCTTCACTCACCTTTATAGAGGAAATTAGAGTATTCCTTGAAAAGCTTATAGGAAGCTGCAAGTGATGGAAATGATGGATGTTCTAGTTCAGAACTGTCAGGCTGCTGTTGCCAGGGGGAAAACAGTAACTGGCTGTGAAACTTTAGAATCAGGTTAAATATGTTCTGAATAATCTTCATTACAGGTGTAGCTTTCTTTGTTAAGAGGCATCTACAGAAAATAAAATAAAATGAATGGCAGGAATGATAAAACACTTTAACCCTTGACAAGTACATTATTCTACTTGATTTATTATACTTAGATAAAATAGATTTTTTACAAAAAACCTTTATAACTTCAGATCTATTTTTATCAAGTGACTCCACGAACCAGCTGCGTTTTATTTAAATCTTCACAATCTGAAAATATGAGTTAGAGTAAGTAGAAGGCATCCTCCTAGATAATTCTTGTTGCATATTTTCAGAACATGCTATTTTTTATGGAGCTCTTTGAGATTTAAAAAAGTTACTGGAAAATTCTGTTTTTACTTTGAAGGTGTTGTATAAGAAAAAAATTATTTCACTTTTGTGTTTATAAAAGTTCAGAAAACAGGCCTTCTAACAGATCATCAAGGGAAAAATTGTGATAAATTTAGGAAGCCAATAAATGAAACTTGGGCTAATCATAAAAATAAATAATAGTAACTTAAAAATTTCACATATATTAGATGCACACACATTTAAGTTACTTATCACATACCAGCATTAAATATCACAAAACACTGAACAACCTACCGAAAACAAGCTTTTTGTAGGTAGGCCACATGAGCTTCCCTGAGATCGTCAAGACTATGAACCTTCTGTTTCAGAGCTAACTGAAATTCATGCCAGGTAAGTTGAAGAACCTGACTGGCAAGATAAGACTGCATCACTCGTGCAAAGTGTTGCATCTCATGTCTGAAGAGAATCACAAAGTATGTTCAGACAACTTTAAAGTACTTATACAATAATCAAGAGAAATGTACTTTAAAACATTGGCTACACTAGCAATGGATTCAATGAACCAAAATTATCATTTTAAACTAAATATTATTTGAAAGTTTAATAACTACAATAATTGACTGGTAATCAATCAATACTTAAAGGAAGATATTAAAACTGATGAATAGTCTTAAAAGAAAAACAACAAATCTACAACTAGGTACTGGAACACATGAATGTTATATAAATCCTGAAGATGTTTTTTTATCTAAAAAAAAGAAGTCCTAAGCAATTTTCACATTGATAATGGTAAATAATTACTTACCGAAAAAGGTGAAGTTGTCGATACTGTCGACTACTGTGTAAGTTGTGATACTTTGCTGCATAAAACATAAAAAAAAGTTACTGTCTTATATGTAAACTCAGAGTGTAAGTTTTCATAATAGCACAGAGATGATCTGATAACCAAAAAATAATAATTTTTACAAGTATAAACAAACAATTGTAGTATAAGTTTAATTTGAATAAACAAGATGATGATATATAGTAATTAAGTTTTCGATAACAAAAAAAGAAAGATGTATATATATACATGTAATATCAAATCAACTTTATCATGTACAACTTTGTTTAATAGCAGTTTATGAATTCACTGCTTCTTTATATATATTTGAGTGTTTATAACTTATGATGATGACCAACACTTTACACACTAAGCACTATTACAGTTGGATAATGAGCACAATATTTGTTCTTGTTTCCAACTATTCACTGAAGATATACCATTGTTTATACAGTTACATGTTGCAATAGATGAAAAATACATCATGAAATCTATCTCATTAATTAAGCTTACAGAGAGATAATCAAAAAAATGTAAATTGACTGATTTAGATCTAGCATTTAAAGAAAATTACATAACTCAACATCAAGCTTACTAAAAAAGTTAAATGACAAATCTCGCTTAAACCCTTAGAAAGGATCTCTGTTGGATGATTTGTTTACTTGCAGAATAGGAATATCAATTGTGAATCATACAAGCATGCCTGGCTTAAAATATGCTTTTTCATTTACTACATTACAAATAGATAAGTCAAAACAAGATCACTGGTAGTAAAATTTGTTCTTTGTTTCAACACCTTATATCAAATGGAATGTATGAGTGAACTTAGTATATAAGAAGTATTTCAGATGACAGCCATGTGATGCTAAGCAGTAGAAAATGTTGGAAGGATGCATTGTACATGTATTTCTACACACCTGTTTTCTTCATGTGAAACCATACATCTGTCAGAGTCCAAAGAACCCTTTTCATTTGAAGAAGGAGCCCTAGGACTCTGTTGTATTGGTCAAGATCTTCCTCTGTGATTACTATATTCAATGGCCAGTCAACCTAGAAGTAGATTTTAAATGTTCATTGTCTATGGGAAAGTCCATATGTTTGCTAGCAATTCTTAGTTAAAAGATCACACTGACAGAAGTTTTTTATTAGTTACAGATACATTAATAACTTATGTGAAAAATATTTACAGGAGTATTTTTCTAAACCCTTTCCACATCAGCTAAAAAAAAGTCAGTTTTTTATTTTGCTTTTTGATAACCTATGTTTATATATTAATGAAACAAATTATCCTCAAAAAGTAAATGTTACATATCTGTATTTATACGTGATTTATCTTATTTCAATGGAATTACTGTAAAGAATAGGTATGCTTTTTCTCCAGTGTTTATGATACATAATTCAAAAGAAACAAAATCAGCACAAACAGTATTTTCAATGCCATCTAGCGAGCACTGATTGCAACATGATAATATGTGAATAAATTCAGACAAATAACTAAAAATATGGCAGGAAATAGTTTGGCTGAATTAAATGTGGCAAATCAAGGAAGGGGTTAATGAAAATCTTGAAACTGTTTCAAGATAATACTTTCAAAAATAAACGTAATTAGAATATAAAACACATAATGTAGCAAATTCTAACTGTCCATAGAAACTTAAAATACAAAAAAACCTTTAAAATGTTTAAAAACATAAGATGTCTATACTCCTTCACACACATTTATATAACACACACCTAATGAAAATGGAGTAAATTCCAACCATATATATTTTACAAATAATAGTGATTCATTCTAAAAATCTTTAATGAGCATGCAAAAAATGACGGCTATTGCAGAGGTCAGGCTGATTGGTAAAATTTGTGTTTAAGACAAGTTTGTTTTAAAATTAAGATTGTTTGTTGTTTGTCATTAAAACTAGAATTTTTATATTCTACCATATATATAACAAATATACGGAGATAAAAACAAATCTTACAGATCTGCAGGTGACTTGCAACTGATGTTGACTACTTATGATTAATGAGGTATAATGCTTATACAAGTGACGTTTATGTAAAATCATCAAAGGTGGAATTCTTTTATGATATTTCTCAATTTGTCGTTACATATTTGTTCAGTTTTATGTCAGATTATTCCAACATAATGTAGAATGGGTTCAGCTGTATTTTACTAGAATTACAACATACATCATCACCATAAGGATAATGCTCAAAAGAACGTTACAATAAATTATGAATGTACCAAAAAATCATGATAATTATTTGATAATAAATATGCTACAGAAAGCAAATTCTACAAAACCAAACTCAATAACTGTAAAAAATCTTTAAAACCAAAGATTTACTGTTTTTGTCTACTTTCAAGAACTTATAGTATTGTATCAAATTGTCTATGTAAATATTTTCAAACCAATGGTACTTTCCTAGTAAACAAGCTTACTGTACTTATAATGTACCAGCAAAAACAATGCCCTACAGGCAGCTGTTTGTGCTAATAATTACTACTTTTAAAATCCATACCTAGCTAATAACAATTTAGAAAAAGTGAACATTTTCTAAAAAATCTTTTTTTTCTGGGAATTACTGTATGGGGAAAGTGTTTGGATTGTGCTCTTTAGTCATTCACACTCATTGCATCAAAATGATTCAATATATAGAGCTCAATATTTTCATACATTTTACTGATATAAACTGTAATGTTTTTATATATTAAAAATGATACCACTTATTGAAAAAATAAGTTTTTTTTAAGAACTCCAGTTTCTCAGTACTACATTTAAACATTACACCAATAAAGATATAATCAAACCCTCACATAGTTAAAGTCCTGTTCTGTTGTGAAGAGATTATTTTTATTTAAAATTGTGTTCTATTATAAAGAAATGGTTGTTGCACATACCACAGTTATTTTTCTAACTGTCTGAATCTTGAATCCCCAAAGCTTGTGGTGCCATTCAATAAATGGAACACGAGTTTTGGTTACATACATAGATACTGACATATATGCTACATCCATTATAATAAGATAACATAATCGAAATAAAAATATAGAATGTTAACATTCTAAGCTAGTGAATTCTGAAGAAAAAAAATCAAAAAATGGGTTCTAATCATTTGCCAGTATACAAACAAAGTCGTAAAATAAGGCATATTTACTGTTATCAATAAATCTCTTGAATAATTGAAAAATATTACTAGCATAAGCTACTGCTATGGAAAAAAAGATATATTATTTAATAAGAAATTAACTGAAAATTGGAAATACTACCTTGTATCTCAGCTCTAAACAGTTCAGAACACTGGCAGCTACAAGATAACATAAAATATAAATACTTTAAAGTTATTTACAAATTAAAAAATCTAAAACTTATAAGACAATATTTGACCAAAAAACTTGTATCAAGTAAAGCTAGATTACACTTAAAGATAGCTTCTACATTTCACATATCTCATGTAATTAGCATACACAACTCAAATACAAGATATTTATTTGAAAAAGTATCTTATAAATAAATAAAATATTATTCAAGAAACAAATCATATAACGTATAACAAGAACTACATTAACAACTGGACTGGTCATAAGAAATAATTAGCTTCTAGATTTTAAGTTTTAAATAAAAAACATTTTTTTCTAATTAGCTGATTAAAAGTACTTCAGATGATGTATTTGGAAAACAATAAGAAGCACTGTAAACTACAGGACATATATTTTTATCAACAAAATTCCTTAACGTAGAAAAATGCACATTTTTAAAATGTTACATGCAGGCTTAATACAAAAATAGCAAAATCTTACCACTCTGTGGAAATGCTGATGGAACAAATTTAACAGCAAAACTAAGATTATCAGCAAATACTGAGTCACCATGTATTGTTGAGGATAAAGCATAAGCAAGGATTGAGTTCAGTGTTACTGGATTTAGAAGTTCTGCTGGGGCTCTACATACGGACACCTGTTAAAATAATAATGAAACATAAGTACTGAGTACTTGTTACTAAAATGTTCTATATTTCAAAGCTAAAGTAACTGCTCTTAACAAGATAATACAAATAGCACATGCATATCAGTTCAGACTATAGTCCCTACTAGAGGTTATGACAGTTGTCCAATACCCAGTTCCTGCCAAACTTCTTACTGTCCCCAATACTTATATTGGTCGAGCATATAATTAAAATAGAAAGTAATATAGCATGCCGTAATTTTATAAAAAAAGCTATAAAATTTAAGTTGCTAAATTACATTCAAATTCAAAATGGAAAACATTTACAGCATTGTTTTTAAGTTTAATAACTGAAAAATATCTACATACTAAGCATGATAAGAAAATATGGTTAGGCCCCTTGAAGTTTGTAAGAGACATTTTCTTAAATTTAGAAATGAGGATAAAGCAGTTAAGGTAAAAGTGCAAGTATAGTTAATGGTTCTTATTTTATCAGTTATAACCTAAAATAATCCATTTAATAAGGGTTTAAAACAACAAACTGAAGGTAAAATTTGATGCAGCTTTGTGAAAAGTAATGAAGAAATAAGTGTTTTAAGTAACGACAAGATAAACTAAAACTTTAGCTTTAGAGTAATACATTTATCTAAATCCTTGTGACATGCAAAACACTCTTTTTATAAATAAATATGGCACTGTTACTTCAACAGATATTGGAAAGTAATTGCCTTTTTTTTTACTTACACAGGTACTGTAAGATCAGTTACACAAACATATTTTAAACTACAGCAGACATAATTGTATAAATATTTTTTTTACCTTTTCAAATAAAAGGTGACTCAGTGCTTCCCCAAATTCTCCATCTTGGAAGAAGAAGAAATTCCGAAGAGTGGAAAAATGTTCTTTGACATTTAATTCACCCAGATAATAGTTAATAACACTTTGATTAACCAGGCTAGCTCTGTACAAAGGAAAGAAAGAATGTGTCAAAAAACAAAACAGAAACCAAGAGATACATGTTTACAAATCTTATTAAATCTTATCAAGGCTTTAAAGGTAGTAAGGGATAACTTACATTCTAGTCATAGAAGACATAAAATATAGAATATTTAATAAAACACACACTCATGATATTTTAAAGTAAACTGTTTTATTTCAAATATTTGGTAGAATCCACAACTAATAAGAGATTTAAGCATAAAATATATTGGCATAGTTAAACTGAATTCTTTTGATTTTGACTGAGTTGTGAAGAACGAGGAGACTAGACACAGTCATAAATATAGTGAGAGAAAAATTAAAGGTCATTCCAATAACAAAATAGGGGATGGTACAAAACCTCAAGGTACCACCTAATCTGCCAATAGAAAATATTGCTGCCTGCCTTCACACACTGTGTTATACTTTACAGCAAACACATCCATGTGAAAGTGCACAATACTATAAAGGAACAAAAGAAACTTTACTACATTCCTTGATGAGTTTTTGAAAAGTTTTGAGTGAACTTTTAAGTGTTCACCCAAAACTATATATAAATAAGTTAGAAAACACCTAGTATGCTTGAATACTACAAACATACAAAGTAATTTAAAGTTCCAAGGAACTATAAATGAATCTTTCATTGAAGATTAAACATTCAAATGTATCATCTAACAAATATCTCAAGTAAAAAACACCATGAAAATAAATTTCTTTTATTTAATCTTTTTTTAGTCAATTAAAATGCTTATTGCTTATATTCTTGAAACCTGTATCAGATAAAGCTAGATTACACTTAAAGACAGTATGTATATGATACTTCACATCTCATGCAATTACCATATGACTCAAATACAAGATTTTTACTTCAAAAAGTATCTTTTAAATAACAAATATCTCATTCAAGAAAAAAAATCATATAACAAGGACTAAATTAACAATCTGATTGGTCAAAAGAAATACTCAGCTAATAGATTTTAAGTTTGAAGTAAAAAAATACTTTTTACTTAGCTGGTTAAGTATTTTGTTTTTTACTTTTTGTCAAGAGTTTAGATGTTTGGTATGCTTGTTTTTTTTGTTTCATTTCATGACTGACCAACTACTAAAGTTTCCATCACAATTGTTTTTGTTGCAGTCAATATGTCTCAATTCATCAAAGGTAATAAATGCTTTTTCAATCCTATTCACCAGCTGATCCAATTCAAACATTTGAATGAAGTGATAAATTTACAACTACTTTTAAACATTTTATTGTGCTCTGAATCATTACTTGTCTCTTTAAACAAATTATCTCTAGAGGAGAAGGCTGAAAACTGAAACACAAATGTTT